TTGGTCTGCCTGCCCTAATTTGATGTTGGAGAGTGAATGACTGTTATACCCTTTTGTTATCTGCAGTAGAGACGGTTACAAAGAAGAAGGTGGAGGATGTAATGCCGATTGCTACTGGTCATGAGAAAGAAGAGCTTGAAGCTGAATTGGAGGTGACTCTCAATGCATTTTTAATCATTCATATATGAGTAGTGAATTAGTGATGCATTGCTTTATCGGCCTTAAAGTATATATAATTCTCTCTGCTGAGGAAATCAAAATTTTAACTTTTGTCATTTATAATCTTGTGGCAGGGGAGGAGACTGCTTGACATTGACTTCCCCGAAGGTCCGTTTGGAACTAAGGTTAGTTTTACTTTCTATTCGTTAAGATTTCTTGTAACTCCTTTCAATCTCTTTAAATATCTTCACCCTTGTTTTCACTGCAAAGTTTAGTTTACACCCCCGTCAGCGTTTCTAGTGTGGTGAAAGGCTGTATAAGTCCTGTTTGCCCTGTTTCTTTTACCTCAAATATCTCGACACTCATCTCTATTCCAAATTAAATTGAGTCCCGCCTAATTTACTTACCTTTATTGGTCCGTGTTATTCCTTCACCAAGGACTGCTTTAGCATGCAGCACTCACTTTAGTAATGTCTAATTTGAAGCTTTGTCTAATTGTTAACACCAACCTTTCTTCATACTATCTCAGGAACTTTTGTTAATTTCTATAATTAGTATTAGTTCCCTGAACGAGGCACTAGCTTGGGTTCGAATCATATATGGGATTTGAATAGTGCATTCAACAAGTATTTTTGTTTGTTTGTCTACCATGTTCCACTGCCCATGATGCTTATGTTCAAGATGATGACGAAATTTTTCAGATGTCTATGGATCATGAAAATTCTTTTGTTAAGAATCATTTCTTGTAATAAATAGATTTATATGTCTGGTTAAGTTCACATGCTGTATAAGTTTATAACACAGTTGAGACATTTGACATTTCCCTTTTTCTTGTGTCAAATTGTCTCTTGAGTGAGCAGCATTCTATCTCGTTAACACTTACCAAATTGTATTTACCTCAGGAAGCTCCTGCTATTGTGAAGTCCTACTATGACAAGCGGATTGTGGGATGCCCTGGTGGCGAAGGCGGTAAGTCCAGTCCCTTCTTCACTCTTTTAGTGTTATAAAATTGAATGAGAAAAAGAGGCATAAAATGGATGATTTGTATCTCTACTGCAGAGGATGAACACGACGTTGTGTGGTTCTGGCTGGAGAAAGGAAAATCTTTTGAATGCCCCGTTTGCACTCAGTACTTTGAGGTAAGTTAAAAACTCGTATCAGATTGTGCTTAATGGTTAATAAATAGTCATAGCTCAGACATAACTCTAAAAGGATTAGAGCAATCACTCGTTGAGATTGTCCGTTTATGAATGTTGAAATGGTGAGATCGTGTATGTGTTGCAGCTGGAAGTGGTTGGTCCTGGTGGGCCTCCGGATGGTCACGGTGATGAAGACGACCACCACTGATTCCTTGCCGCGAGTTTTACTTTTTTTTTTTCACGTTATTTTCATAATTTTTATGATTGGAATAAATAGATATATGCCTCTGGCGAAACACAGTTGAAAATGTTTTTTTTTTTTTTGGATCTTTTTAGAACAACACTTTGGTATCGGAAGTTTTGTCAAAAAATGCCAAAACTCTTACGAACCGTTGTTTTACTTTTGTAACAATTCTTGAATCAGAATCATTCTTGCCTCCTTTTGCTTATTATATATTCAACTTTTGTTTCTATGGGTCGATGTCTTTTCATTATTTGACGTTTTGGTTTTGTCCCTGATTCCTTGTGAACGGCCATATGCTTTCAATATGTTTATAGAAAAAATCAATTTTCTTCCAACCTTGTGCATTAATTGGTTTAACGCTAATTACTCATACGATGCATGCATTTACATTTTACTTTCAATCTTTTTTATTTGCTTATAATAAAGGTTTTTCTTTCCATCTTTTTGTTCATTTGTAATGAAGGTGTATACAACACGGTTACACCGGGACCGAACACGGTTACTTTCCTAACGTTCTCAAAGGTAGTGCTTAGGACCAAATTAATCAACTTGATTAGTTACAAATATAATTAATGAATTAACTTGATGAAGCTAAGCAGATTGTTAATATCTCAAAACTGCGTCAGTTCTTATTTATTTCATATGCTTTTGTGGTTTCACATCATAATATGTTCACAATGAAAAGACCAAGCAGAAAACCTAAATATAGTACATGCGTTTTAAAAAAATAGTATATGTACTAGCTTGTGAAACCAATGCAAAACCTAACTAGCTATAAAATAGAAGTAAATAAAGACAAACAAAGGATATTATTTTCGGAATGGGATATATTCGAAAACAATCAAAAAGAGAGTAATTTAATTATTTTTAAAAAACGAAAAAGAAACAAACTATCAAGAAAAAGAACATCGGAGTTTATATTCCGTTTCTACTTAGGGACGACAAATCACCAAATAAACAGTTTTCTCTATTTATGTTCGATACAGCTTGCCCTCACTACGAACTCTTTTCGTCTTCAGACGTGCATGCATTAACATATACATATATATGTTTTTGTCAGCCTGCATGAATATATTATGAGATTGTACTCTATATATAAATTAGTGTTTATTATGTTACATTAGATAAGTACTAGGTGAAAAATCAGATTATGTCTTCAGGAAAAAGTGACGAGTTTTCTCTCTTTCCAATTAGGTGCTTCTAACAAACTAAATTAAAAACAAACACATATATAATTCTGTTAGATGAATACTATATACACGTGTACAATATTCCTTTGATCTTTATTTTCATTTAAATTGTTTTACTATGGATACTAGATAGTTATAGTAACCAGTTGTATATGATAAATTATCATTTAAGATAATTTATTTATAAGATTGTAACATAAAGGTAAAAGAACAAACCAAAATAATATTTTCAAAAGATTTCTTATTATACTGCGGCATATCATATTTTACTAGTATTAATTGTGCTGTTTGTACTATTATGCATATCATACTTTTAATATATAGTACAAGCATTACATGATAACTTTAGGCTTAAATTTGTCAAACAAGAAAGCCAAGTCTCAAAAAAAAAAAAATGTAAAACTAGACATACAAGTATACGACTACCATTAATTAACACCTCTACGACCAATTGGCTGTTTCCTTTATTTACAAAGTACTGGTTAATTAATGCAGTCGTGTTTAAAACATCTAGCGCTAAAAGAAATAATGCTTAGTAGTACAATTTGACGATATAATTACACAATCAGATGCCACTTGTCCCCCAGTAAAAGGATTATAAAACTTGTAAATTGCTCCCTCCATTAAATTAATTATGCACATCATAGACATATACTCTCATTCTCTCAGTGATAGCATATAACCTATAAAGAACGGCACGAGTGATCGTCCTCTTATTGATGTGCTCGCGCGATAATAATAATAATCAATAGACAATAGGTACTGATACTTAAACAAAGATGCAGTAATATTTAACATGGTTCGTTATAATAATAATTTTATCTGCGAACATGCTGTATGCAAATGAAAACAAATATTATCGGTCCATTTTGGTCGGCAGAAAAAAAAGATTAACAAAATTAGTTTTACAGTATATATTCTGTAATCGATGGTGTTTATATAATTTTAAATGCATTAACTTTAATTGAGTCTTAATATCCTTTTATTCTACGAACTATTCTATTTATATACTCTCCTTAATTTAAATGATCAAACTAACATAGTAGTGCCGGAAGCATCCATTATTTTGTTTTATGTCAACTGATAAGAAAGTCTTAATGTAAATACGTCAATAATTAACTCTTTCTAATTTGGGTTGACTATTTAGTATTCACCGCCAATTGAATTTGTTTTCTTATTGAAATAGTGGGTCACTAGAAGAGTTGACTAAAACGCTATATACATGTTAAGGACAGGGCCGGCTTACGAGGGGGGACAAACGGTGCGACCGCCCCGGGTCCAAACCCGTGTCCCCCCGATTTTACTAATTAAGGGGCCCAATATTTTTTATATATACATATTTTTATATAGAAAATTTTAAATATTTATAAATTTTAGTTGAATAGGGGCCCTAAAATATTTTACATATACATAATTTATTTTCATAACAAACTTTTTAAAGATATTGATGTTAAAAATTTAAAAAAATATTTTATTTTTTAATAAATATAAACATTAAAAGTAAAAAAAAATTTTTTGCCCAGGGGCCCAAACAAATGTTGAGCCGGCCCTGGTTAAGGAAAAAAGGAAAAGGATCGCAAGAATATATAATTAACTTGCAAAAGTTGTTGACCTTTGTTAAAGTTAAAGTTATGTAACGTGATACCGTCATTACTAAGAATATGTCAAGTAATAGTTCAACAATCATTTCTGTGTTGTAGAAGATTTAAAGTTAGTAACTAATTCATAACCACTAATAAGAACACTATTTTCATTCTACGTATGTCACATGAGTTCTTATTGTAATAGAAATCTCACATTTAATTCATACAACAAATTGAATGCCATATATGATAACCGGTCATAAAGTACTCAGTTCCTATTATCATTTAGGTTCTTAAATCAAATAAGTAATTAAGTGGTTGATATATCCCTTCACGAAAGATAAATAGTAATCATTCCATCAAATCTGTAGAGATCTTTGAGGTAGAAATATAAAAGGAGACAAAAGGCAATTATTGATTTATTATGCGCAGTGCGGGTCTTTAGCATAAACCACTTAAGGAGTTGATTAGGGCATATAGATTGTACTGAAACAATTTGCATTACGTATTCAATATCCATGCAACTATGTCCATTGTTTTGATCATACATATACATTTTGTTTATGTTTTAACATGATCTTTACGTTTTGCTATCTACTGTTCAAAATAACGTGTTAGATTGTTAATGGGCACTTTCATTAAATATATAAAATTGTAATAAGAATGCGATTCGTTACAATGGCTACAAATATATATAATTGTTTTGCCTTTTGGGTAAAGTTTAATAAGTGAAAGGATTTTGAATCATGCAAGTTGCATTGCTCAGCCTCAGACGGTCAGACCCATTCTGATTTTATCATCATGTAGCCATGTAGGTCACTCCCACTGAAGCTCCTTTTTCTTTTCTTAATATAGTGTATATAAATACTAATTAACCTCACCCAAAATAGAGCTACACGTGTGTAAAATATAACTTTTAATTAATTTTCTACCTGTAAACCTTCCACTGATTAGAATACGAAGCACTCTTTTAATATCAAGAAATACGAGGATCCGAATAATTTAAGTGGACCAATAAACAGACCAAACATAGAACATGTAATGTCTAAAAGAAGAACTGAATTAACGCATAACTAAAGAAATGGATAGAAGAAAGTTTCTCAAATAACTCGTGTAATGGTTTGTATCGTATTATTGTCATGTAATGCATTTGTATTATCACTGTCCATAATCAAATCAACAAGAACAGCGAAGGCTAATGGAAAAAAAAAACTTGTTAAGACCAAAAAAAGAATTAATGAATAGATGTTTTATAATGATCACATATAAAAAGCAAAGTGTACTTTAGTTAAGGTTCTTTGTTTTGCCAACTAGCAACCAACAAGTAAAGTAGCTGATGTATGTATTCATTTTTACAAAAAAAAAAAAAAAAGATGTATGTATTCATCAATTAATTATAGGTTCAACCAAGTACACTTTTTATTGAAAACATTTTCATGTAGTACTTAGTTAACTTTTTCATATACAATTTTTACTATTTGGATTTTAGATAATGATACCATAACAACACTAACACAAAACAACACCATATTGAAAGATCCATCCAAATTTAAGGTAATCAAATGCATTAAACAAATATTGTCAATACAAGTTTATTACATATTATCTAGTAAGAAGGCAATGAATGTAGGGTAGAATAAATGGGCATGACAACGCGCACAACAGTGTCAAACAAAAGAGAGTAATGAAAGAAGCGTTGAAGAAGATGAGAAAAGATCAAAGGCTTTTGTTGGTTTTATTGCTTCCCCCCCCACATGCAATCCAGGTTGGTCACTGATGTTTCCTACGTATCATCATTACACTCAGTGCTTTCAGATTTCACAAATCCAAGAACCCTAAAAAAGAATATTTTTAAACTTTCTGATTAATGGGTATCCAGCAATCTTCTCATTTTTATATGTTTTCACATTAAAAAAATGTTTGAACAATTTTTTTTTTTCAATTTCTTCTTTCTTTTTCAGTTTTGGATTATGCCCTCATGTTTCTAGTAATATACTTGTGGTTATGTTATATTATACAGAATTAATATTCTTTTACGCGGAGTTTATTTTCTTCCACTGCCACAAGGCATTGATTCTCTCTATCTCTCTCCTCTGAGTATTTTTGCCGCTAGCTCTGCTCAAGGTTTTGATTTTGATTCCTTATGTTCCCAAAAAGATTTATTTCTTTTGTTATATTAATATAAATAAAAGAAAAAGAAACTGTGATTTCCTTATTCTATCTCCATGGATGCTCTTTAGCCTTCTCTTTTAGTAGAAGTTTTTTTTTGTGTAGCTGGTGTACACATTTAACATCCCATAATGAATGATTCAGATTCACATCTCTTTTCTTTTTATTCCCTCTCCTCTCAACATCACCTCAAATTTTCTCTATAAATACACATTTCACCTCCCATACCTTCTCTTATATTTTCAATCATTGTGTGTATTGTGACATTTGAAAACACTACCAAAAAAAAATCACAACAAAGTCTCTAAAATTGTACTGTCCACTGAACAAGAATGAGCTACTCTCATCAAAGCATGGGTTCTGGTTTGTTTCTACTTCTTGTTTTCTCTGTCTTATGTTATTGATCTTTAATGTTTGGTGCTTAGTTATGAAGTGTGTGCTTTTTAATGACTCTGTTTTGTGATTTCAAATATGTTTATGGAAATAGGTAGTAGAAGTGCAAGGGGGTATGAGTTTGGAAGGACTTATGTTGTGAGGCCCAAAGGAAAGCACCAAGCTACTATTGTTTGGTTGCACGGTCTTGGAGACAATGGCTCCAGGTAATATAATACTCTCTTTCACATGCCTTGTACTTATAATCAATGCCCTTTTTGAGGCAAGTTACTATTATCATCATGCTTGTAAAAGTAATGCCCAAATGAGTTGAAAGATTTTAAACAAAAGTTAACATTCTCCTTTCTCTTAGTGAACACCTTCTCACTTTATCTCCACTCTCTCTGCAGCTCGTCTCAGCTCTTGGAGAGTCTGCCTCTTCCAAACGTAAGTATCCATGAACACAACAACACACTTGAAAGTAGTTCTCTGTATTACTGAACTCTCATTGTCTGATAAACATGCATGCTATGTACAGGTAAAGTGGATTTGTCCAACTGCTCCCTCACGTCCTGTTTCACTTCTGGGAGGCTTTCCTTGCACTGCCTGTAAGATCATTCAACTTCTAGGCTTCTCCAAAACTTTCTCTCATAGAGATAACTAAAGGATAATAACCAAACTCATTGCTTCTCAGGGTTTGACGTGGGAGAAATCTCTGAGGATCTTCATGATGATATAGAAGGCTTAGATGCTTCAGCTGCACATATTGCTAACCTCTTATCAGCCGAACCAACAGATGGTAAGCCAACCAAAGAGTTATATATCTACTAATATCCATCACAATCTCTAACTCTGACTACCAAAATGCTCTTTGTAATTTGTTTCAGTGAAAGTTGGGATAGGGGGTTTCAGCATGGGTGCAGCAATAGCACTCTACTCCACAACGTGTTACGCTCTTGGACGTTATGGAAACGGACTTCCCTATACTATAAACCTACGAGCTACTGTAGGACTCAGTGGTTGGCTTCCTGGTTGGAGGTATATATTTCTTCAACACCTTCATGTCATTAGGTAACATAAGAGACTAAACATTAGAATCTTCAAACATAACAATGCAGGAGCTTAAGGAGCAAAATAGAAAGTTCAAATGAGGCTACAAGGCGTGCTGCATCTATACCAGTTATACTTGCACATGGAACTTGTATGTGTACACATATAAAGTTGAGTTCATTGTTTCTTCAAGATAAATATCTGATAGTTATTTTTTTTTTTTTGTTGTTGTTGCAGCGGATGATGTAGTTCCTTATAGGTTTGGAGAAACATCTGCGCATGCACTTGCCATGGCTGGATTTCGACAAGTTGTGTTCAAACCATATGAAGGGTACAATGTTATAAACTATACATACCAAAAGTTATATGTTTAGTTTGCTTTACTGTGTTTGGTCTGAAGTTTGTTGTGATTGTGTAGGCTTGGTCACTATACGGTTCCGAAAGAAATGAATGAGGTCGTTCACTGGCTCGCGTCAAGGCTTGGTCTCGATGGCTCACGTTAAGCTCCAAAAGCATGTTATAGCTATCTATCTATATGGTGGTGTAGAATATATATATAATGTATAATGAGTGGGTTTTCTTGGGGTATACGTCGACTGTTTTGTGATTTAATTTTTGCTTTTTTTTTCTGCTTTTTGGATTCTTGATTATGAATAATGAAATAAAACCTCTTAAAATAACATAGTATCAAGTTTTGTTCATAACAAGTTTCTTGAGAGTTTTCTTTATTACAGTACATTAAAAGGCATTCTTATGTAAAGAAACAAAAACAAAACATAATAATAACTTCATTCATCAGCAGTAAGCATAATAACTTCAGACTTGGATCAAAATCTCAAGAAGCTTACTGAGACTTTTGGTTTGCAGAGACGTCTTTAAGCTTCTCCTCAAGTTCACCTTCCTGTAATGATACAAAAAGGACTTGAGATCATAAGCCAACACAATAAGATGAAAAGGGTATAGTCTTGGTGAAGGTAAACCTTGTGCATGTTGAGAATGATGTCTGAGCCTCCAATAAACTCTCCCTTGATGAAAATCTGTGGAAATGTAGGCCAATGGCTACACAGAATAACTCATCAATCAGTTTAAGACCAGTGAAGAAAAAATCCCCAAGAAACATATAAGAATCTCTGTATGAAGCATAATCTCTCACCTGAAGGATTTCACAGCGTTTTTCAACTCTGGATCTTCAAGAATGTTTCTAGCACCAACAGGAACATCTGAAACACCAGAAGTCACAACACATATAGATTCAGGATAGTGGTGGCTTCAAACTCAATCTGTAACCAAAAGAACACATCAAGAACTTACTATATTGTTGCAGAACCCTTACAGCTAGTGAGCTAAACCCACACTGAGGAGCTTCAGGGATTCCTTTCATGTAGATCATCACAGGATTTTCCTTCACATCCTAAATACCAATCCAAAGCCAAACATCATAAGCAACCAAAAGCATAATCCAAACACAAACACAAGAAAACAAAAAGAAACTTACATTCTCAACGAGATCCTTTAGTGAGTCAGTGGAACCAGGAGCAACTTTCTGTGTAGGCTTGAAGTCATCATGTGTGTCTGAATCGCTGGGAACAGAAGATGAGTATCTCATCATCCCATTTTGATAGACTGATGCCTGCAAACAGAACCCATTTCATAAAACCGTTGATTCTCAAATTAAACTCAATCAATTCGATCTGCATCCAATTAAAAATAAAAACAAGACAGAACATAAGAACATCAAAGTAGTAATCTTTTTCTATGAGAAGCTCAAGTAATGTTATCTAAACTGGTTCAATGAATAGCAGGATCAATACCCATATGCAGGAGACGAAAAAGAAACGATTTTTAAGATTGAGCAAAGAGTTTTTGAAGAGAGACTAACCAATCTGTTACAACGAACGGTCTTGAGAAACCTGCTAGACAAAGCAGCTGCCATCTCTAAATTAATTAGATTTGTTTAGCCCACGAAGGTAAAAAAACTAGCGAGATTAATGATCGTATCTACGACGGAGAACGGAAACAGAAAGAGGCAAACACCGTCTCTAGAAGATCTTTTACAACGACCGCTTCTCTAGGACCGAACAGGAAGGAGATCGTGTCATAACTCATAACCCTAAGGTGTTATACGGTGTCGTTTGTTGTGTCGCGGATATTTTCGTCCTTTTGACATTTTTGTTTTTTTACTGGTTCGGTTTTCTCTGGTTTAGGTAATTCATTTATCGAGTTTTACGGTTAATAAATATTTTTTGGTTCTGTAATTTATAAACAAAATATATTTGTTAACAATTAATCTATTGTAAAAATATTACTCCCTTCTATATCATTAAAGTTTATCTTTTTAACATTTCTTGCTACACAAATATTATTTTAAAATTTTAATGCAATTATACATATTTTAGGCTTAATATAAATTGCAAAATATATGGATTTTCTAAATAATTGTATTTATCTTAAATATTTTAATTATTAACAATGTGAACATTTTTATTATTTTTTTATCGGTATTAAAATGTCAAACATTTTCATAGAATTAGTGAGTATATAATCAAGATTAAAACCCCTGATCATGATTATGTTCAAAAAGAATCAATCTCTGATGACAATTAACTGTAGATTTTTTGAATTCATTTAGATTCATAGAAGTATAGAACATATGTGCACAAAAAAAGAAGAAGTATAGAACATATTTGTTTTGAACATCAGAGTTGATTACAATTATGCTAATGCTTGGAAACCTCTTGCATAATGTGGACCGTGGTATGGAACATTTAAATAAAATACAAATTTTGGATGACACAAAAGTTGTAACAAGATCGAATATAAAATTATTGGCTGGACATTAGAAGACTCCAGGATCACCGTCACAACGAAAGAAACAAAACAAAACAGAATCACAAACACAAGTAAACAACAGAAATTACAAATACAAGAGACATTATTGAAACAACAGAAAGCAAGACACGTTCATAGTTCTTGTTTACTTCCTATCATAAGTATGGCGAGTCTGATCAGTGCTCCGTGTAGTACCAGTAGTGGTCGTAGTTGTGCCTGGATAATGTTCTTCTTCCTCTGTAGCCATCCCAAAAGTGTGCTTCACCGCATCAGCTGCACCCATAGCCATCTGCTTCACATGCTCACCGGTCTGGCTCAAGAACCCACCGGTCTTGTCTCTCCCGGCTTCAGCCGTCTCTTTCGTGTACTGAGCCGCGTTCTGCGCCGTATCCTTTGTGTACTGAGCAGCGTCTTGAGCCTTGTTCTTTATGGCTTCTCCCGTCTCGGACATGTAGCTCCCGGTCTTGTCCTTCGTCTCGTGGGCTTTGTCTTGGGCCGTTTGGGCAGCTTGGGATGTCTTGTCTTTTGCTGACTGGGCTGTCTCACGAGTCGTTTGTGCAGCTTGAGATGTCTTGTCTTTTGCCGCCTGGGCCGTCTCATGAGCCTTCTGCTGGGTCGTTTGGGCAGCTTGAGATGTTTTATCTTTAGTTGCCTGAGCCGTCTCGTGTGCCTTTTGTTGGGCCGTTTGGGCCGTCTGGGAAGTCTTGTCCTTGCCTTCCTCAGCCTTGTCCCTCATTGCTCCCATAGCTTGTCCTGTCTTCTCCTGTTATTACACAACCAAATCATCATCTTTATAATTTTACAGAATAAATTTTACATTTATAAATAATATTCACAAAGATATTATTATTACCTGAGTCTTGCCTCTGGTTTCACCAGCTTTGTAGCTTTGTTGGTTAGACGCCATTTTTCTTTTCTTCAAATGTGTAAAATATGAAACGATACTTAACAGCTTTTTCTGAAAGTGTTTGTTGCTGTGTAGAACTGTGTATTGCCTTTCCAAACCATCGGGACATTTGTAGTGTGTTTTGGTCGGTTGGAGAATGAGACATGTGTAAGCATTGAGGACACGTGTATACCTGCATGGTGTGCTGAGATTAAATTAGAAGTATATATCCTCTAAGTATGGGGTGCTGTACTTTGCGAGCGTTTGTATGCGGGTTCTCGATCCTGTCTCTGTACGTGTTGTCCTCTGAGGTTGCGACACGTCATGGTTAGTTGAACGATGTTTGATACGTGGTGACACCAGAAGTGTGTCGTCACTGCATGTTATAATATATTAATATTAGAGCACTCTTAACAATATAATATCAATACGGATATCCTATATGCACGTTCCGTGACAGTGTCAAACTCAAACATCACCTAAAGAGAGCAATTAAAATACTCTTTTAGTTTTCTGAATCAAAATAGATGCTCATCCACCCACGACGAGCAAATTTCGAGGTTAGTCCTTGAACTACGTACTCACCTCCACATATAATTAGTCTTGTTAGATGTGTGACGACGAGCCAATGAAATACAACATGTAATTAGCCTTGTTAGATGTGTCACAACTAGCCAATGAAATACAACCTACGTTGAATCAAATGAGATATGACGCACGTTGAAATTTTTAACATATGTTACATTTAGTAAAGTTTGAATGGCGCCAGATGATATAATAGACGCGCACAAGGATAAATGAACGAATGTAGTTAAATTTTAGTGGCAGCAAGCAATACATCTCTATAATATTATTTGAGAATTCATTTTCCTATGTGGCGTGCTCATGTTGACTTTTACACCGGTTGATTACTATGATATCCTTGATGAATATATTTAAATAGTATATTTAAATAATATTATTAATTTTATATTTAGTTTCCTTTTTAAAACATTCCAAATAACTTTTATAATAAAAAAGAAAACAAATTATTAAATTTAAAAACGAAAATATATGTTTATATAATATGATTTCATTAAAAAGGAAAGTTCACAAAATAGTAATATACTATCAAAATAGTAAAATAGTATTATTAATTTTGTATTTAGTTTCCTTTTTAAAAATTTCCAACTAAAATTTATAATAGAAAAAACATCTATAAAATTTAAAAGGAAAAATTAAAAANATTATTAAATTTAAAAACGAAAATATATGTTTATATAATATGATTTCATTAAAAAGGAAAGTTCACAAAATAGTAATATACTATCAAAATAGTAAAATAGTATTATTAATTTTGTATTTAGTTTCCTTTTTAAAAATTTCCAACTAAAATTTATAATAGAAAAAACATCTATAAAATTTAAAAGGAAAAATTAAAAACGAAAATATATGTTTATATAATATGATTTCACTAAAAGGGAAAATTAACAAAATATTAACATTCATTAAAATATTTTAAATAACATAAAATGTACTTTTTAATTAATAAAATACTTTCTTTATATCTGTATTTTCTTATATGAAAATATATATTTTTATATAATGTGATTTCATAACAAAAAGTTCACACATATAATTTTGATATTTGAAAAAAAAAATTACTTTTAAACATAATTAGTTGACTATAGTATCTTTAAACTAAAGCAAAAAAAATATCTATAAATTAAAATTTACTTATATAATATGATTTCTCAAATACAACCACAATTTTTACTGCTTATTTTTAAGAGAAATTAAAATATTTTTTAGCAATAAACATCTTTTAATAAAATAATTACAAAATATTTTAAAATATCATACCACTATATACTTTAATGACATAGATATGTTATATTCTATCATTATTTAAATTATATGTGTCTTAATTTTTTTTTAAAATTTTTTTTTATGTTTGTGTAACTTAATATAACCATAATAAAAATACCAAAGAAAATCCGAATTCTCATTTTAAAGATTATTTAAAATAATATCAGTTTATCATTCAATAAATATAAGATATAAAATTATTTAGAATTTATAAAATATTTTAGTTATTGTAAATATTGATATGTGTTCATGAATCTCCAAAAATATATGAGTTACTTAAGTATAAAACTTCTTACTGATTATTGCTTTATTTTCTACTATATTTTAAAGAAACATATAACTTGATAAATATTATGAAAATACATGCACATTTAAATGATAAATAATATTAATTTAATTTGATTTATTTTGTGAAATTTATATATATGCATGAGACTTCAAAGATTATTTATATCGGTTGATGTAATTTGAAATCAAAATTATTTTATATTTCATTATAGGCATAATATATCTTAAGTTATAAATAACTTTTCTAAAATATATTGACATCTAAGACAGCAAACAACCTAAAAGTAAATAATATAATTAAACAAAATTTAATATATTTAAAATAAAAAAACATTATAGTTGAATTCAGATAAAAGAATGTAATCTAATATACTCAAATAATAACAGTAAAATCGACTATAAAATAATAAAATTGACTAGATATAATATTTCTAAAATAATATGTCTAATTAAAGTAAAATAATATTATTAATATAAATCATATATGCAAATTATAAATTAATTGAAAATTAAAAGTAAATAGTAATCAATTATTATAGTATATTTACTTAATAAATATTTATATCCGTGCATGAGCACGGGAAAATCACTTAGTATGATACTATAATGGCAAAAGGAAAAGAAAAAATTTCTTCGACAACGTATAACACCGCCAGCATATAATCACAGTTGCAGCTTAACTTTAACGATCCCATCTATTTTATTTCTCATCAAACCCACTAACGTTTAACCAATAAGTCAGTAAATTTATAGATTCTCCTATCTGTTATTTTATCTACAACCATTTTTATAGCATCAAATAATTGGTGTTCAAAAAAAACCCATCAAATAATAAGTTAAGGAAAATTAGGGGTTTTCCGGCATAATATGCAACAGTAAAATTTTAAATTTAAATTGTATTTAAAAATAGAATTTTGTTAATATATTAGATCTTATTATTTTATATCAATATTTTAATATAAGTAATATTTAATTCAACATAAATATTTTATATCCATATCAATTTTATTTATTTTAAATTATATTTAAAAATAGATGTATATATTTTTAAAAATATATAATACTAGATAAATTTTAATTTATTTATTTGGTTAACATATATTAAATCAACTTGTATAAAATTAAAAAGAATTAATATATATATATATATATATATATAAAAAGTTATCAAAAATAAAACTAAAGAAAAATTCTAAAATTTGTAAAAATAAAAATAAAATGGTATTACGATTAAAAGTTATCATTTTGAAATGATTGTATAAAATTTTGAAAGTATTGTTTTGCAATAAAGATTGTATGATTAGAAAAATAGACTAAAATAATATTTCTAAATTTTTAAAATTATATTTGTATTGTTATATAATATAATGTCACATTTGAATAATTTTTTTTAATGATGATATATGAGTTATTACCATCTATTAAAAAGTTTATCAAAAATTAGAAATCAATAATAAATATAAACGTTCATGTTACATTTAGCAATAAATCATATCATCATTTATAATACTACATGAAATATTTTTTTAATGAAAATGACTGTAGAGAGAACATTTGTGAAATCAATTTTTCAAGTAATGTCTTGGGGATAGTTAAAATATAAGAGAAAAACATAAATTCTCTTCTTTGTAAGAAGAACATAATCAATTTTTGTCTCAAAATTATTTGTTTAATATAAAAATAAAATAAAAAAGTAGTAAAAAAAATCAATATTTGAGAAAAAAAATTTATATATGAATTCATATTGTTTTTATCATTGCTAATGTTCCATATTAGAACCATCATTCTGAGCAGAGGTATTAGCGATAATATTTCTAATATTCAAAATCCATATATTTGACCGTCATCTAAAATAGATTTATGATTTTTATTTGGTTACTTTTATATGCAAAATCATGTTTTATTTTTTATTTTCAGTGATTACAAGAAGTTCCGGACCGAAATTTATAATCTCATTGAATTAGGGACAACAACTGGTTGTTTAATTGTCTTCCGCAATTGTTGTCACTTAATATGCATGGCACATCCACCCTAAGTGTAGAATACTTTACGAGTAGAGATAACAGCTCCAGCCGAGATAAAACTAACATACTTTTTTTACAGAAAGTAACTGATTGATCTTTTTTTTTGGGGGGGGGGGGNGTCACTTAATATGCATGGCACATCCACCCTAAGTGTAGAATACTTTACGAGTAGAGATAACAGCTCCAGCCGAGATAAAACTAACATACTTTTTTTACAGAAAGTAACTGATTGATCTTTTTTTTTGGGGGGGGGGGGTTCTACTGTTCTAGATGATATCTTTAACTTTCACTTTGATGAATACTAATAACAGTCCGGCAAAATGTGATGAATTGAAACGTGAACATAAGAACAGATGAAGAATATGGCCCAAGGGGTATATAGCCACGAAGATCCAACTCCGGTGCTGGAAGGGCGGATCCACCTTTAAACTAACCATAGTGAGCCATCCCACTTACATGTTTTAGGTAATTCACATATGTTAGCCATATATTTTGTGAAATTTAATACATTTTCTGTTTACAAAATCCTATTGAATGAAAATTTTCTAAGTTATTTTAAGATGTATTTTGGGCGTTCGAGAGCATAGAATGAAAGTTTTATTCTGGATTATTCATATATTTTGTAAAATTTAATACTTTTCTGTTTTTAAAATCCTGTTGAAAAGTTGTCAAAAAAAAAAAATCCTGTTGAATGAAAATTTTCTAAGTTATTTTGAGATATATTTTGGGCATTGGGAGCATATAATAAAGGTTTTTTATGGATTATTATTACAACTTTTAAAAGTAATTTAATGTGTAAATTAGAAAATCGAAAGTAAAAATGAAAGAGGGTGAGAGGTGATGCATGGATGGGAGTCCCAAAGAGAATCGAATCGAATCAGCTCAGTTCCTTTTTTTGTTGCCCACTTTACTCTTCTCCAA